CCATGTGGATTACAAACTATTTATTTCAATAATGGCAGTGAGACTAAGAAAATGTATAGAAAAAACAGATTATACAGATCAGACTGAATTTGTCCCAAAAAGATTTATGAAAGATAACACATGTTTTGTGATTGATGCAATTGAATAAGTCAAAAAGAAGAAGAAAGCTGCATTTATCTTTTTAGATGCAGAGAAAGCTTTTGATAACATGTCTGGCCCTTTTTAGTGAAAACTCTCCCATACTTAGACTGTGACTCACACTTTATGAATTGGATTTAAGCAATTTATACTAAACAACATGCTAAGATTTTAATTAATAGCTTATTAGCTGACAGGTTTCAAATGGAGAAGGGAACACACCAAGGATACCCTTTATCACCTCTTTTATTTATTCTTGTACTGGAAAGTTTAGCAAAAAAGATAAGACAAGACCCAAAAATAAAGGCCTAAAAGCAGGTGAAGAATATAAAATGAAATGTGATGCTAATGACATAGTCTTGACCATTTTAAATCCACATCAGTCTGCACAGTATATAATAGAGCAAATTGAAAAAATTGAACTTTTTTCGAGCTATAAGATCAATAAGAATATCCATTATAAAAATAAATTTACTACCTATATTGATTTTTCAATTCCACATACCAATTGCTATACAAGGAAAAACTCTCCAAGAGTGGCAAAGACAACTAAATACCTTTATTTGGAATGGCCAAAAGCCAAGGATCAGGCTTAAAATCCTTCAGGACAAAAAGGAGGGAAGGTGCCTTGTAGTACCTAATTTAAAGCTATATGCAGCTGGCCTGGTTTGGATTGTAGACTGGATTACAAATGCTAATGATAGGCAACTGAAGTTAGAGATCTTGAAGATGGAATACAAGGCCTTGATATCAAATAATAATTGTGCATTAAGAGACAGCTTAATAAAAATTTGGTATTCCATGAGGAAAAAAAATAATCCTCCAAAAGAGGAGAGTCAGAGGGGATATGTTGGCGACATACAGGTATGTGAGGGGATGTCACATGGAGATGGGTAGAGACCTGTTCTCCCCTGCAGAGGAAGGCAGGATGTGCTCCAACGGAGCAAAGCTCAGGGAGCCAAGGTTCCATTTAGATGCCAGCAAGCATCTAAGGGAGGTTGTTGAGGCCCCATGGGTGAGGGTGTTCAAAGATAGGCTGGACATGCGCATGGTGGGCATGTCGTGAGCGGAGCCGGCTGGAGCCGGGGGTCAGACTAGATGGCCCTGGAGACCCCTTCTGACTCGCTCTGTTTTTATGTTTCTATCTCTCCTCTGATGTCCTTTGTTGAAGCATATGGAAAATACTTAAGGAAAAATAATGATTTTATATGTTATGGGAATAAGATTGACCAACAAGGACAAGTCAAATCTTGGTAACAACTAAATGAAGGAAAAAATACAGAATGGTTTGTTTATCACCAACTGGTTTCAAGACTGAAAGGGGAAATACAATCAGGGAAAGGTACTGTAAGAGACTTGCTAGATATGTAATTCTTATGAAGCTACCAACAATGTGAGACATGATTAAGGGACAAACTTTAGAATGCATGTAAATCTGCCATGGCCCAGATAAACAGTTTTGTGGCATTATAATGCATTATGCTAGTTCCCTATTGTAAAAAGATTAACAAGAAAAAATGCAAGTAACATTCTGGGAATCTGTTGAGAGAGGTCCTTCTCTAGCTGCTAACAGCAGAGTTTATTTGGGTGGTGACCAAGGGTATGGAACAGCTTTAGAATGCACTTTCCGAAGATGCTTGCCAGCATCTTAGCCTGCTTGCATTGCCAGGAAGAATGTTATCTCACTCTGTTACGTTGTAAGCACATCTCCAAATACTCCCAATGAAACTTTGCAATCTACACTGGAACTATAAACCATTGCACCCACATTTTAAAATTTTGATTTTTTTTAGCTATCTTGATTCCAAAGGTAACTCCATACTCCAGTACACAGGACTGAGTGAAGATCCTTATTCCTTTTACTGATGTACTTTGGTTATTCTTCCTTTATATTCGATAGTATTTCTTCTATCAACTAAAAGACACTGGTGTAATATTGCTTCCCCTTGCGTGATCCTTTTTTTTTTTTTTTTTTTTTTTAGGAAGCAGCTAATTTGAAAATATTAAAAAAGTATTGAGTATCATTCATTTCTTCTTGTGTTTCATGAATTTCCTAATATATCCATTTCAGATCCAGTATTTGTATGGACAGAATCCTTTTTTAGCCCAGTGTTAAAAAGAGCTGATTTTCCCAACTTAGTGGGAGTTCCTCAAACAAAGGAAATTGCTGACTTTTCAGAATACAATACCCTTATCTCAAAGTCTTGGAAGAAGGATAATATACATTCATTATATTTGATACGGCCCATTTATAGAAGTAATTACAAAAAATAATGTGCTGATAACTTTAAAACAATGTTGTTCCCATATAATTTTAGCCTTCTGTGGTGTTTCAAACCAGTGTTTTAGCCTGTTTAAACAATTTACTTGAAACAAATTATTTTATCTGGTACTGTGAATTCACTGTCTCTTTTCATTCTTCACATTTTTGAAAATTCTAGTCTTTTTCTTACCCCAAATAAACACATTTATACTGCCAATCTTTCATATTAAGCTCTGAAGCAGCATTAAGAGTATTTTGTAAGAAGACATTAATCTGTGGAAGCATGATTATTGTAAATGCTGTGATCTACCCAAACCAAGTAAACCACATAGGGCACACACACTTCTATGGTCTCCCAACATCATGGGGGCATAGGATTCTTCAAGCCCAGCACCGAGGTTCTCTGACCCCCCAATAGCAGGCATGGGAATAACCCTGCTTGAGGCTTCTCTGAGAGAGAAAGACAGAATACTGCTAGTAGACCTTTTTCCTGTCTAAGACACTTAAAATTGTGTCCTATGTTTATTTAATTCCTTGGAAACCTGTGAGAATCTTATCCATGCGCAGTTTTTCTTAGTTGCAAAGCCAGTGATACATTCAGCATGTCTAGTTTCTTCTCAAAAGAAATAGAAAGATGAAAGTTCTGTTTTACCTAAGGTGGCCTTATAAGCAGACATCTTTCAAAACTCCCCTTTGATTAGGAGCTCTGGCAATGATTTGGGGGTTCTAAAACAAACAAGAGGAATGCCATCTGCAAAGAAGTTTATTTTAACATCTAGCTCCTTTAATCCTGGCTTTTCCTGATTGTTATGGTCAGTGGTTCCAGACAAGTATTAAATAAGAAGGAAAACAAGAAACACCCTTAACTTACTCCTCTAAATCAGAGGAGGGTTAACTTTGAGCAGTCTAACTGCTACATAGGATATACTCCTGTTGCACCTGTGACAGCAACAGAAAGAGGGGAAAAACACCACAGAGGCTTACCAAGGACAAAAGTAGCTTGAAGGGGATCTGCATTTGTCCTAAGTATGTTTTCATCATGGAGTTCTCAGACAAACTGTCAGTTCCGCTCTTTTAGAGGCATGGGAGTGGGTAGCAGGGGCTGTACTAGGAGTCAAGAGGCTACATGTGACTCACAGAGCTAGCATTGCCCACCCTAAAGATGTATTTCTCATCAGTTCAAACAGCCTCATGTAAGCACATTTGTCTTTTTTTAAAGAAGAATCCACTATCTGCTTGACAGGGAACAATGAGCTTTGAAAGAAGTCTGACCAATGTGAGAAAGGAATGTAGAAGTGTCCTACACATACAAACTAAATATTACAGGAATAATAATGATATTGTTTATTTTTATTTATTTTTCGATTTATATCCTGCCTTTTTCCTACAAAGGGCTCAAGGCAGCTTACATCTCCTCCTCCATCTTATCCCCACAACAACAACCCTGTGAGGTAGGTTGGGCTGAGAGTCTAATGATAGCTGGGTAATGGTCTGCCAGAGAACCTATGCCTCCCCATATTTGCTTGCTGGCCTTTAATTCCTATCATCCCTAACCACTCACCAAGCTGCATGGGGCTGATGGGAGCTGGAGCTCAACCACATCTGGAAGACAAGTTTTCAACCCTTGTTTTGGACACTTTTCGTACTGCCCAGTTCAGCTCTGACAATGGAAAGAAGCAGGGACATTACTGAGCAGTAATGGGCAAAATTGGAGGATATTCTTTTTCAAACCATAAAGAAAACATTACAACACCCCCCCTTCTTACTTTCTCTGTGAATGTGGAAGCAACGTGCACAACATGTTGGCTGCACTCTTATGTCTAACAGAGATAGCCTGCAGATAGTCCAATCAGATGTTACTAAATCAGTTCTAGGAGTGCCAGATGACTAAAACAACAAACAACAGATTGACTCGTATGCTTTATTTTAGGGATAGTGGCGCTGGCGGGGCGGGACGACAAGAATAAGGCCATACTATGGGTTTTTATTGTGTTTTGGTATTTGTGAAGCTGTAACTCAATGGACCACTTGTGCACAGGGCTTTCCTGCTATACTTTCCCCAAGCAGGCTAGGCTCAATGCCCTGGAACTAATTTGCTCTGGGTTCTATCCCAAACATCAGCAGTTTTCTGCTTCCCCTCAATTTTTTGTGGAGCGCTGTTTTGTTATACACATTGCAGGCCCGAGCTGTTGTTGTTGTGTACCATCAAGCTGTCTCCAACTCAAGGCGACCCCCTGAATGCGCGCCTTCCAAAATGTCCTCTCCACGACAGCCTGCTCAGCAGTTCTAAATTCAACTCCGTGGCTTCCTTTATGGATTCGGTCCATCTCACCTCCTCTTTAGGCAGGCCCAAATGGCGGCGACTAAAAGGGTTAAAACCCCGCCATGCTGCAGCGACCCAGCCGCTCGCCCCCTATGCTTGGTCGTCCAGGCACCCCGCCTCGCAACAAGCCCCGCATGCCCCACCCTCAGGCACCTTTGTTTCAAGCGAGCGGGGACTCGCCCCTTGAAAGCCCCAGGCGCAATACGAACTCGCGCATGATCACCCGCCTCTTACGGGGTGGGGCTCTGGTGGGGAGAATGTTCCCTGCTGTGGCCCGGGCGGCGGAAGCGTAGGCGGCAGGCAGGCGGCAGGCAGGCAAGCACGGCTTGTCTCGCCTCGTGCGTCCCCCCTCCGCCCCCTGCCCCCTTCGACTGGAAAGAAGATGGGGATCGCGGAGCCCTCGGTCGGTGTCGTGGGGGTCCTTCTCGCGCTCTCGCTGTGGGCACCCTTCGGCGAGCCTGGCGCGCTGGGAGCGGCGCCGGAAGGTAGGGGAATGGGCGAGGAGGCAGCGAAGCCCCATGGGGTTGGGCCGCTGCCTGCTGTGCTGGAGCTGGCTTGCTGGATGGCGGCCGCAACCTCGTCCGAGGCTCCTGGAGGCCTCGGCCGCTTGGCTCTGGCTCGAGCGTGCGCGCTTGGTGCTGAATGCGCCGTGCTCGGTTGGTCGGTCGCCGTTCCTTCCCTCGCTTCTCCTTCGCCTCCTTTGTTTTGCTGCAGGAGAGCCTAAAGCAGACGTCGTGTAAATTTGAGTCAGTTGGGGTTACCCGATCTGGTGCCCTTCAGATCCGTCATACTGCAGCTCTCAGCATATCTCGACCAGCCAGGCTGAAAGTTGTAGGTAACCCATCTGGAGCGCACCAGTTTGGGAAAGTCTGGGTTAAAGCGATAACATCAGCGAAACCATGCACCTCCCCCACCCTACTTCCCTTCTTAATTCTTCATGGCATTGTTTCTTCGGACTTAAGCTAGTTTGCCCTCCGTTCCCGTATGCCTAGTCTTGGTTGATACCGCTTTTACCTGATTTTCCCCTTCACTTTTCTACGCAGTTATGTACAAAAGGCGATTATTAACTCCAGTCATTCTACGGGTTAAATGAATTCCAGCTGTTTCAGTGGTGACAATGGGCTTAACTCTGATTTTGATGGGTTGGAGAAACAGCACTGAGGCATAGTTTATCCTTGTGAGGTTAATTTGGATGTATGTGCCCTAGTGTCATACATCAAGGTCTTTTTGCCATTTCTCACCCCCTTTCCACTGTTTGACATGAGTTAGGGTTCACCAGAACCTGGGTTGGATGTTCATCTGGGGTCAGCTCTTTGCCACAGAAACACTAGGGAGTCCTTCTTTGTATTTAAAAGTTGATTTCTCTCTTCAGTGAGGGGAGCTAGTTCCCATGTGTAAGAAAGTATGTGCTTCCAATCAAAGGGTTTCAAGTTATTTTATTATGACTGACTGCATATCTGTTTGTGTCTTGATACTTGTAAAATGTCATGATTTGGAAGAAAAGTTGTTTGCTTTTTCTTTCTTACTATATCATAGAAACTATATCATAGTTTCTATACTATATCATACTATACTATACTATACTATGATCATACTATATCATAGAAATCATAGAAACATACTATATCATAGTTTTTTGTATGGCAGTCCTCCACCTTTTTAAACAGACAGAAGTTTAGCAGCTCCCAGCATACCCCACCAAGCCAGGGTGGTTAGAGTATGGTGTAGTAGGACTTTCCCCCACTCCTCTCTTAACAGTTAAAGGGCTGTGTTCTTGGTGCTTTCTTATACAAGGAAGTACACAAACTAATGTTGTCTGACTACGTGCAGGACTGTTGTAGATGTTTCTAACGAGATTAAAAATATGCTGTATGACATAATTAAAACTCTTCTTGGATTGTTGTTGCTATTTACTTAATTTGAACAATGTCTTGTCTAGAATGAGCAACTTCCTGAAAGGAACTGCAGGGAAAGGTTCTGTGTTGCACTCCCATAGCCAGAGAGAATCAGACCTCTCAGAATTGTCTGGCATGAGCACTGGGTTTTGTAGCTGAAACACAGGGGATCTTTGGAAGGTAAATCAGTTATATTAGGAAACAAACAAGGAAAATGGTAATTTAGTTTGTACATTTTCATATTTTAAAAGCGTAAAGATTAAAACATTAAGAGATTTTATATATTTAAAACTAAAAATATACAGATTTATAGAATGTTAAATATAGGTATGTGATATAAAACAGACTTTAAAATAGGAAACATTCAATATAAAACACCAACTGTAGTCACAAATAGGAGTGTGTTACAGTTACACTTAAAATCTAAACCAGAGCAAGGTCAAGCCTCAACATGGATTATTTACTTTTACATTTATATGCCGCTGAATAACCTGATTACCAATCAGGACATCTCCACAGAAAATCAGACTGTGTTAATAGACATTGTGGCTTGTTTCATCTCATCTTTTATACTGATTTTATTCCAATTTTCAACTAATCAAAAAACAGTGCCTCTTTTATAGCGCTCTGTTAGCAGTTTTGTTCAACTGCTAGCCCAGGGGTCTTCATTTCTGCCATTCTGTTTGCATATTTTATATGAAGACCATGGTCAAGCACATATTTCATTATGTTGCATATCACCAGATTCTCCTTACATCTTTTAGGAGAGGTCTTCCAATTTCATAAAAATAGAAGGAATTATATTCCAAACACTCAGTAAACTCTGCCTTATGTTCCAGACCAGTAGCACATTCCCATACCTTAATTTGTTGTCATATAGCCTAGACTCCACAAAGACACTTTAGCTAAATAGGTGGATGGTTCCCAGATCCTGGAATTGGGCTGTTCGCCTTTTCCATATGAGATTTTACTCACGCTGAAGAAGTTAAATTTTTAGTTTGGGGGTGCTTGTGGTTCTGTCTTCTTCACTGGAACCCCAGATGACCCTAAAATCTTTCAGCACCAATTATTAACTCCAGTTGACGTGCCAGCTGTATTTGTTCCCTCTATTGTTTTTAATAGTGGATTCTAAATGTATTTGTATTGTTGTAATTAAAATTTTAATAGTGTATTTATGGTGATAATTTAATTCTGTTTGTGAACTGGTTAGAGATTTTTCCTTTTGTTAGGCAAGATATTAAATATAAATAAATAAATAAATAAATAAAAGATAAACATTTGGCCTTAAATGCTGGTAATGAGAGTGCTTATAGGTTTCAAGGAGATGAAGAGAGAGTCACAGCATATCTGTGTGCCATTTTTGAGATTTGTGTGAGTCGAGACTTGCCACCTGTTATGAGTGGCAGGAAGCAGCTTTTGTTCCCAACACAAGTGTGTGCATTTCATGTACTCCTCATAAAAGTGAGTGGTAGCCATTAAGTTATACATGAGAACATAGGCAGATCTGTAACATATGATAGATTATAGATGCCCTGAATCTGTATTGTGCAGTCATACATGCTTGATGCTGATGCCCACTTTAGCCACTATATCTACTAGGTATTGAGTCACAAGGAGCAAAGTTGTGCCCTCTGAACAGCACATGCTCATTTCTATATGTCAAGCAACGCACAAAAACATTTCTGCTGAAGTGGATGGGTTAGAATGTGATTTGCATACACAGCACTACAAGCCCACTTCCTCCTTCCCTTTACCCTTTTAGTAGCTAGGATGGCAGAGAGCAGTGAAGAGGGTGAGGAGCAGAATTGGCAAAGAGATGAAACCAAATGCATCTTAAAATTGCCGTCCTATTGCCTTGAGGTTGATAATTGTGTATTGTGAACCAATTTTGTTTAACTAAGCACTCAACAATCAATGAACACTTTCAATCTTTTCATTAAATCTTTAAATCTCAGCAATCTTTTTTTAGGGTTGGGTGGTGTCAATTGGCATTTTGCTATTTCTGTACAACTGTAGTGGGTCTTTACAATTCCTCTTTTACACTGCCTGACCCACCAGTTTTTGTCTTTGGAATTAGTTTAGAATGCAATAAATGTAGTATATAGACAAGTAGGAACTGCCGCAAAATCTTACATTTCAGAGTGTTTCTGTTCAGGTAGCTAATCTGCCATGTTCTTTTCTAGGATACTTTCCTCCATTTACTGTCTTCCCTTTCTCAGTTTTCTGTCCACCTCTTCCCAAACAGTCAACACTCTTTTAAACACTAAACATTCTCAGTCCTTACTGGGCTGTTCCAGAGTTCCTCCCAAAATGTTTTCCTCCTCCTGCATACCTTGGGCCACTCCAGCTCTTACCTCCCTCCTGTTTTGGCTATATACTGGATTGGTATTCAGAGATATTAGTTAGTTATATGATAGTGATTTAGGGAGAACTTGAAGGCAAATTCAGAATGTGTTTGGAATAGTTATATGCTATTAACTTTAAGGCCAAGCTCTATAACATTCTAGGTTGCGAGTTGTCCTTATAAATCATGTTTTTGAGAGATGAAGAGTGCTATTAATGAAATGTAAAACAAAAGTAGAACACTCTTGTCAAAGTGTACGGCCATTGTATGTAGGTATGTCAGAAAGACATGGCTCTGTTGAGAGATCAGGTCCTTTCTGGCTTTTCCTCTCTTTCAATTATTTCCATTCCAGCTGGTCATTAAACTGGTGCTTGAGTTTGCTTGCTTTCCTCTTCATCTCTTTTCTTTTTGTGTCATGTGTTTTAGATAGTAAATCTGCCAGGGCCTGCCTTGTTTGCTGTTGTTCTTCTGGAAGTTGTTTCAGCTACAGGGTGGGGTAAAAATGCTTAAAATAAATAACAAGTAAATTAATTCTTTAGGGCATAACTGTTTATTGTAAGGAAAACATTTGACCAAAATTCAGAGTAGAAATATTTTAAATTACATTTCAATAAAATTTTCATGTATGTAAAAGAATGTTGAAAGTGTATCTTGAAATTAGAAATTTGGAGAGCAATCTCAAGGTCACTTTGTTTACTACACATTGTTTGGATTTTTTTTTTTTAAATTCTTCACATGAAACATACCAGTGAATGGAAATTGTCATGTTCTGCCTCAGTCCCTTATACAAGGTCCATAATTCCAATGCTTGTTTCTTGTTAAAAACAGAAGCAGGGATAGAAGCAATATTAGGGTAGTGGTTGGATTAGAAAAACACAGTGGCAAAGTGGATAGGAAGAAACTATTATGTATTGCTTATAAAGTCGCAAAAATTGTCTAAGTGCTGTACAGGCATTAAAAGATAAGAAAGCCCTGCATGCAGTCCTTGCCATGACCCAGTGCTCAACAGAAGAATTGAAAGATTGAAAGTGCTTCTCCCCGCCTTGTAACTTCTTGTTTTACTGTAAACAGTTCTCCTTTTAAAGAAGTACATAGAAGAGATGGACTGTATTTACTTATGGAGAAGTGGGAGTGTGTTGTCATAGCTGTCCTTTTGTACACTTTCGGGTTATATAGGAAAGGCTTGCAGAGAGGTACAGAACGTTTTGTGGAAAGGAACTGGAGAACAAGTGGAGAACTGTGGAAGGTTATGTAGAGAACATCAGTGAGAATACAGTTGAAATGATAAAAAATAGAGGAACCTGTACAGAAGAAAATCATAGGTTTTTCTTGGACACTCCTCACAATTTAATTTCAGCAGGGGTCAGTGCATTCCTGCAGCTGCTAGACAAAGTCTAGGTGGCCATAAGATTTTTTGCAGATGTATCTATGAGGTCTGCAAAACACAGCCTCATAGCTAGGTCTCGAAGCACATGCATGCATTAATGCATGTACGCGCACGCACACACACACAAAACTGTCTCATCCAGCATGGAAAGCACTGCACCAGCTTTATCATTGAGTTCAAAAGAGGCTGAATGAGGCACTTGGGGTAGGGAGAAACAGGAGGAAGAGAAGGCCACCGCGACAATGCAAAATATCCTGATGGTGTTTCAGCCTCCCTCCCGCATGCTCTCAGCTGCAACACTTAAGACAAAATTGGCCACCTAAGAGTTTTGCAGGATGGGAGGAGCCCAGAGACAACCTCTGTCCTGCATAGGATGATTTAAGCCTTACCTGGGCCAATTGTGCCCTAAGACACTTATTCAGAACAGTTTGTTTTGCAGCCAATAGCCTGGCAAGTGGGTGCTGCCTTGGTTCAAGCAGGCTTGTGAGATTTTGTGGGGCAGTTGCATTTGCAAGCTGCAGTAATTATATTTGTTATAATTTTTAAGACAAAGTGTTGTCTTCTGCCACATTGTAAGTGTATCCTTAAATGTGGAATGTAGGATAGTGCATGAGGCCATCATTTCTTCCATCTATTTGGGGGGCCAGACTATAGTTTGAAAAAATATGAACTGATTCCTATGCACACTGCACATTAAAACTTTAATTAAAACTAAAATTACTTAAAATTAAAAAATTACTTAAAATTAAAAAAATGTTTGTTCCGCTCCCGCCGAGCCCGGGGGCAGCCGCTCAGCAGCTGCGGCAGTTTGCCCATTGAAGGCCGTGGCTCCCACACCTCTGCCACAAGTCATGGCAGTCTTGCCGAGCCAGGGGGCAGCCTTCTATGGGCAAGCTGCCGCCGCCGCCGCCGAACAGCTGCCCCCAGACTTGGCGAGGCAGCCACAGTTTGACCCACAGCCCAGGGACGTGGCTCACATACTTAAAAATAGATTTAAAAAGTTATATTTTTCTTATCTTCAATCCTTTTTTAGCATCTTCATCTCTCTCAATTTATAACATCTTGGTACATATAAATAGATATCTTGTGGTAAATAGATACATTCTGGTCTGTTTTCAAACCATTTAATTCTATGGCATCAAAGCATAAATAATTTGTATCTTTTTAGTGCCTCCACCAGTGAATGTTATGGTAGAATCCTATAACTTCAACACCTCTGTATGCTGGGATTATCCAAACATAACCTCAAAGCCGCTTTTTTCTGTGGAAGTCCATAAGTATGGGTAAGAATGTCTTGAGTTTTGACTCTATATCTTGTCTTAAATTTGTGCTCAGTGTTGACTGTTGCCTTATAATGAATGAGCTGAATAAACAAACTTCTTTGCAGTGTTGTCATTGTCTGTTTTCAGTATGAACTTTAAATATTTTTCTGTATAATTTCAGCAAGAACTTGTACAGAAAAGTGGATACCTGTGTGAACATATCCCAGCACTGTTGTGATCTTACTCACACAATTCAAGGAACTGTCCCTTTTTGGGTGCGAGTTAAAGCTCTTGTTGGAATCCATGAATCACAATATGAAGAGTCTAAGGACCAATTTTACCTATACAGGCATGGTAAGTTGGTATGGTATGGATAGGTAAGCTTTTATATTTTGAGTATTTGCCACATTTTAGGAGCGAGACATTGCAATATTTTTGCTATATCTATAGAATTCATGATACAACAGTCCCGTAAGGTAATTTAAGTAGATAAGAGAAGGGGGTCGGTGGCATATTAAATGGCAGTCCAGTGAACTTCATGGAAAAATAAGTATTTTTAGCCATAATCCTTCTGTGTGAAAACTTAGTATTTTGTCTGTTGCATGGCTGACTTGAAGCATACAGAAGAATGAAGCAATGAAGCTTGTGATATTAAGAGCCATTTGTTTCACTTCAGACCACGGGTGAAGGATAACATGTGAACATTCTCTTTTGGGAAATTTCCCCGTAAGTGGGTGGAAACAGCAAATCTTAGCAAGTCTGGGAGAAAGGAAATATACTAGGATAGAAGAAGTTGTGCACGTCTTCTACAAGTAAAGTGTGTTAAAGCGTAACACTGATCTGTGTGGTTCCACACATGCTGCTTTCTGAAATGACAGTCTGTTATACCACCTCATTCCATTGTACGGGTTGACACTGTCATTCTGGCAATGGTCAGTCTCCATCTCCCAAAGTAATTGGGCTAATGGCCAGCAGTTCCTTGGGCACTTTGTCAGGACTGTGACTTCTTTTAAAATCCCCTCTGGGTTCCGTTTCAAAATTCATTGAAAGGAGCACATGTCTCAAAGAAACAGTGCCTTGTGCTCTACCTTTGGTCTGACCAGTGGTGTTTCCTGAAGTCACTTGGGGAATTTTTTATTTATTTACATGTATTTATAGGCTGCCTCTAATTGCCGAGGCCTTCCTAGGCGGCTTACAATGCAAATGATGCTGGGCGGGCAAAAAAACATGCGTTCTGCTGCCTTTCCCCTGCCAGGCTTCCCTAGAGTCACTCAAGTCCTCCAGTGTGAGAGGCATTTCAGACACAGGACGCAGATCCTCACCTGTTCCTTTAGGCCTGGCTAATTTGCTTTCCTTGTGAGGGAGAACGAGTTGCATGCTGCTGCTTTCCTGATTTGTGTCTGGACTGTGGGACTTGGGCAGCACACCGGGGCTTTTTAGTCAGGCTAGGCAGTCTTAGCAAGACTGCAGTGATGGTGGCGGCTCTCTTTGTCCCTAGCCTTACACAAAATATGTGTTAGATGATATCTCCAGGGAAACCACCATTTAAGCATTGTTCAAAGCAGATTGTACAACACTGAATTGGGGACACTTAAGTGGAGCTTGGAGAAATTTGATAACACTAAAGCCAGAAATGGGTGTGTAGGTAGTAACTGAAAATACTTTTTGATGGAAACTAATTTGGAAACACTGGCTTTTTGTCTCAAATAGGTCCTCCAAGGAAACTTTCACTTCAAACTTAAAATAACTTATAAACAACTTTAAAACTGTAAAAGTATCACCAGCAGAAGAATTGAATGTTGGGGAGAGTTTTAAAAACAATGCAGAGCATTGGCCGGGGGGGGGGGGGGGGAATACAGAGCGATCCTTTATCCATTTACCTAGACTAAAGTTCTTACAACACAGTGGAATTTACTTCTGAGGAAATATGCATAGGACTGCGCTGTTAGGAAGTTTTTGTTCAATTCTCCTTTTTAGTTTTTTTTACTAGACTGAGTAAGGTGATCCCAACTTCCTTTAGGAGAAAGTTCCACAGGAGGTCTCTCCTGTGCTGCCAGCAACCTAATTTCTCTTGGGAGTGAGACATACATCCAAAGATCTTAAACTATGGGCAGGTTAATAGGGAGTATTCTGTCTTTCAGATATCCTGGCTCCAAGCTGTTTTTATAGGTAAACACCAGCAACTTACATAGTGCTCACAACCAAATGGATACATAACTGGTATATCATGGTCACACATACCCCAAAACAACCTGGTCACTGCCTTTTGCATTCAACAGCCCTTTTAAACTGTATGAAAGGCTGCTGTGACTGGATTCCATTAGTTGGGAGTTGCTGAGGACTAGTTCTTGCTGCATTTTCTTTATTGTTGGTAGGAGGTTCAGGCACCAGCCACCCATCACAATATTATCCTTGTGTTATCCAGGCGTCATAGAATGCCTTTTCTACACTGGACTCTGAATTCTAGATGTTGTAACCCATGAAAGGCTCCTGGCTACCTTTTCTACCCACAGATTTGTCCCAGAAAAGACCACAATTACCCTGAAAAGATGCAGTGCGATTGATAATTTTCCAGTGTCTTATAATTTGATAATTGACTGGAGCTAGTTTCTTTATTATACAGCAGTATTGTACACCGAACCATTAATACTGATTGGAAGTTTTCATCTGTTTCAGTTCGAATAGGACCACCAGAACTTCACTGCAGCCTTAATGGTAATCATATCCAAGTTGAACTTAAACACCCTCGCACACCATTTCACAAGAAATCTGTATATTCATACTTGAGCGACTTCACCTACGATGTGTTTTTTTGGGAACGTGGACACTCAGAAAAGGTATAATTAAGACTCTACCTTTTCTTCCAAATTTAAAATCTGTTTTAATGCAATAATCGTCATTTTTCCTCTAGGTTTGGAAGGGTTTTCCATACATTCTCTACCTTGGATAGTTACTGATTTGTCATTGTCAATTTCCCTGCTATACTCTTCAAACCCTGGAGATATGGGGATGGCCTGTCTTTCACATTAACATTACTGGGGAGAAGGTGAATGTGGAGAAAGTTTCTTTCCAAGTGAGAGCTTGTATCTCAACTTTGATGTAAGATTTTAGCATGAAAGAATACTTGATCGGAAACATTCATAAAGATGTTGAATCTACGAAACACATTTATATGACTGGCATGACTGTTCATTTTGAGAAAGTTCTCCACAAAATGATACTGACATGCTTGAAATTGATCATGGGATTTGTTTATCCATGTGTCATGTCTCGTCGTTTTTATTGTTGTTTTGATAATTTGTTTATTTTTCATCGGGAACAATGAATGGAACTTTTAATTGGTAATCCAGTGCGCTCTCAGAAAAAAAACTAGAACTGATCATCCTGGGAATACACAGCCTAAAAACAGTATGCATTAAAGAGTGAGGTCTCTGAGTCTTTTATATATTCTAATTCAGTTGAAGGTTTCGGTGTCATCTTAAAAAACAAACAAAACAAAACTTATTATCCTACAATAACAGTTGTTTATGGTGCTTCCTAACCTTCCCATAACCTGCATGCTTTACATAGATTTCTTTTAAAACAATGAGCCCTGCTTGCCATTTTATAATTATTAAGATAGAGGAATTAGGGAACAAAAATAAGGAAATAGATGAAGAGATGATAAAGGAGGAAAAATATCTGGAAAGATGAAGGTCCAGTCTCAGTTTAAATATATGATAAACTTTCATCAGGAGGCAGTTTTCCACAGGAATATAATAGCAGTTGCAAAGGAATGGAAGTGGAATTTAAAAAAAACCCATAGGCTTAGTGAGTGAAAGAGTGCTACCAAGACCATAAAAGGTAAGAGGAAAAGACAGAATAAAAGCAACAGAATGAAAGCCAAGGATGGGCCATGGGGCTATATGGTGCCCTTGCAGGGGCTACAGTGGGCAGAAATGGCCCCTGGACCTCCTGCATTTGACTTCCCTGATGTAAGCATTTAAAAGCAGAAGTAAAACTTTAAAATGCATGTGAGATCAAAAGGGAAGCAGGACAAGATGGGATCAGTTAAATCAGCAGGTAGAAAAGGCAAGATGGGTGACAGATTTGAGTACTCTGCATAGAAAGTTAAAGGTGCAATCTTGTGCAAGTCAAGTGGGAAATTAACCCCACTGAGTTCAGTAAGACTTACTCCCAACTGTACATAGGATTGCAACCCTAGAGAAGAAAATTAGTCAATCCTGGGAAAGAAGCTTATTACAACCATTGACGCAAGATAAAATAAGCATTAATTGAATTCAGTTGAAGCAGGAAAAAAGAACTGAAGGAAATTTGGCAATCTTCAATAGATGCAAATAGCAGTGTGGTGTGATGACATAAACAAAATGAAAAAAAAAAGGAAGCTTCCCCTTTTCTTGAGAAACAATGGGCAAGTTTACAGGTCATCAACACCCACCTTAGGGAATGGGTTGACTGTTTGCAAAAAAAAAATCCACAGTGGGCCCAACAGACAATCAGACTCGTCATGGATCCTGAGACAGCTACTTCCTGACACTGAAGTTTGCAAACCTTAACCCTACATAGCCATATGCCCATGTCAAAAAGGTCTGTTGCCCTGTCGAAGCCATGTTGTAAACGGAACCCAGAATTTCTTTTTCTGGAAAAGGAGGTGGGATGCATTTTTCCCTTGAGGGGAAACATAAAAATGAAGTTTTCGGAGTAAAGTCAGGGCAAAAAAAGAAAAAGATGAGGATCTTGCCCCAGTGGGACGATCTATTGGCCACTCCCATTTGCAAGCAAAAACTTGTATCTTTGCTCTTCTTTGAAAGTTCGCCTTTCGACAGCTGCCAAGAGAAAGCTAAGAATTCCTCTTTGGGTCGGTATCCAGGGTTGGTGGCTGCTGCATTTTGACAACACGTATCCTCCAGTCATTGACTCTGCCAAACTTCAAACTTCCAGACTTTAAGGAAACTGCTTACTTCTGCAGTCGCACAAGTACAGCTAAAAAGAAATTCAAAAGAAAATGTGTGCCATTTTTTAAAAAGTTTGACAGCCTCTGCAGTGTGCCACTTGGACACTTTGAAGGGATTGCTACTGACTGTCACAGTTTTGCAGGTTGGGGAGGTTAAGTGGTCACAAAGGCTGCAGCAAGCTAAAAGGATGAGTGATTGTGATGTGCTGTTTGGGCACTTGTGAGGTGGCTGGCACTGGCAGTGGCCCAAGTGAACTGGCAAGAGGTTTTGACACTCTTGCCAGTGACTTGTTAGCCTCTTCCTGGTACATGTGATGGGGCTGGTTGCTTGGATTCAGACAACTATTATAAGTACAGTAACCTCTAGCACAAAACTGTGGGTTGTCAGGGTGGCTTGTTGCTCCTGAATAAGTCACCACAACAAGCCACCCCTGTGAGAAATGGCCTGGGTTTGTATGACAGAACAACTGCCATAGCTGTCATTTTGTGTAATCCCAGTCAATAATAAAGGAATTCATGCTTAAATTAAGAAAAGCTTGAGCTCTTTGTGAAACCTTAAGAGGAAATCCAAGATATGTTTCAGGTGTCTGATAAAGCGGGGCCTTAGCCATGAAAGTGTATAAAAAAATCAACAAGAAGGGAAGACATCTGTATATTATGAAACAAAGTTCTCCGGTACCTGAAGAAAATATTCATTCTCACAATGCATTTCAGGGGAAAAAAGTCCTTCAATTGTAACTAAAAAGAACCCTTCCAGTGTCTGTTCTTTTCTGGAATTAGAACTAGGAAGGTAAAACATAGATCATTAAATAAACAGTATGAACTGTTTGCATGACGAACAGAGAGTTGGATACTAGAATGATTCAGAGAGAACAAAATGTATAGGAAAAAAGTCTTGTCCTGTTCATCCATTGATAATCTTGTGAGGATCAAAGTTGGTATTAAGAATATCAATGCTTTCTGTTTCCTTCTGTTTATTTTATGTAATTATCGTTTTGTGGGTTTTAAAGGAATTTCTAAATATAAACTCTTCTTTCTTGTAGCGTCATAAAGTTAATCTAGATGGATGCACCCGCAAAAAATGTACCATAAATCTTACCATTTCCTCTTGGAATACCGTATACTGTGTTTCAGCTGTTGGTCATTCAATGATGTATTTACTGAAGGGTGAGAAATCAGAAGAAAGCTGCATTGAGATTCCTCTTAAATCATCAGGTAAAGAAGTTAATGGTAGATTAAAACAGAAAGCAGGGGATCATACTAGGGCATCTCATACCTGTGATTTAGCCTAATTCTATTGGCAGACTGCCTCGCTCCCTTGAACGATCACAAGAAAGAGTTTGCTGGTGGCTATTGCTCATTCACAAAGGTGATTGGTGGGGCAGAGGAAGAAGAGCAAACCAACAAGAGGCCAGATACTCCTTGTATTTTTTTTTAATGGAGTTCCCCATTCATACTAGCAATTCTTCTGAAATTTAATAGAAAGAATTGAAAATGGTCCTTCCTCAGAAATGTGAAATATATTTGCATTTAATCTAGGCTGTAGAGTCTGTATTTAACTTGCTTGCTTTACAAAGTCACTTTTTATATAAAGTAAGCCTATGCATGCTCATGTGGAAACTACGTTTATTCAAACTTACTTCCAGTTTAGCATACATCTTCTGAAAGTTAGAGAGTGCTTCATAATTGGGATACAGCAGATTTCCCTCCTTGAACAGAAATCTTTACTCTAGATGATTATGATAATGAAGAAGATGATAATGATAATAGTGCAACTGACGAAAGTGTTAACAATCCTTGAGAGGGAAGCCATATTAATACGTTTTGTGTTTTGCCAATTTCATTCTTTTTAATTTGGTCTTAAAACCATTATAGTATGGATATTAGATCATAATTTACTGGACTCTTAAATATGTTTTTCAGGATGAGATGTTCTTTAAGTTAAATTTTTATGTAAAATCTGTATAGTTGCTTTTTTGTAACTGTACACAGCTTAAAACAGAGCTTTTTTGGCTAATGGGCAGGGATAGAAATCCAATCAATCAATCAATCAAATAAATAAATAGCTAGCACTAAAACTAAGACTTTAGATTGAGAGTATAATTCCACCTAATTGTATATCAGACCTACGACAGCCTGGTCTGTATTTTGGTTTTGTTAATTTGGCTCCTTACTTGCTCTGTGAGGCTTCTTTTTCTTGCACTTGTTCACGCAGCTTCCTTCTGCTTGTTCAGGAGCCAAAGCCTCGAGGGGTATTGGGTGAAAGGCCAATAGGAATAAGGGCCCCTTATCCATATCACCTCCAGTTTAAATTAGGTTGGGCATCAATAAATCATGGCTATTCATGTGATGATTTCTTGATGACATCATCAGCCTTTCAGAGCTAAATCTCAAGTTCTTTGCCCAGTTACTTCCAGCCTGATTGACTGCAGTATCATCAGAGCACAACTTTGATGGAGGTGAAATATTTGGATGCCATGAACCTTTGATGTCTGCATTAGCTTCCATAATGTCCCACCATCCACCTCTGGGATTCATTCCTGAGAGAAACCTGTTTATTTCAAGCTAGAGGTATTTTATAGATGGCGCCTGTCTTAAACTTAATTTCATTCACACCATGTGCATGCAACTTTATATCCAGACTGAACTCCAGAAATGTGTTCTAGAAATGTATTGCCAAGGAGGAGCCTGTTAACTTGCTTAAAATATTCTTGGTGCTTTGAAATGCAGGACAAATCAAAATAGATCAAATAAGGACAGTAGCCATATAACGTCCTGTTGATGCATATAATTTTTGATTTTGTAGGTTTGACTACACCTATAGTTGTTGGCAGCGTTTGCTTAATTGTTTTGGCAATAGTTCTCATAATAGCCTACACAAAATTGAAGAAGAGAAAAATTCAGCTTCCAAGATCTCTGGTAGGTTCTTTGTAAGATCCTACTTTTTCATACTAACACTTTACTATCTAACAGGTTTAATCTTATTTATACTTAATTTCAAGCTTTATACACCCAGAAGACTCTCAGAGTCGCTCACAAAAGATTTGTTAAATACAGTCATATTCAAATGTAGAATCAGTAAACATGCTAAGGAAGTGATTGTAGCTGCTGCCCCAACAGCTCCACTCGTCAGGCTTGGTGCCTCACACGACTTTCTCAAGCAAATGCTGTGGCGTTAGAAAGGGCTGTCCCTGCTGTTGTGGAGCCTCCCCCCTCATTTTTAAAAATTGCTTAGCACGAACAGGAATGCTGAGGGAGAGCAGTTGGGTGGCTGGCACCCCTGCAATTTTACTTGTCCCCAAATGCAAAGCCCATGAGATGGCTGCTGTGCTCCTTGTTGAGCTGGCAGTGGTGGGAGCTCTCTGGCAGGATAGAATGAATAGATAGATAGAATGAATCATCGGACGCCTGTGGCCACTGGTTTAATTGCCTCAATACATGTTGCGCATACAGCATTATGAGAAATTGCTTGCGAGTTCAGGCATGCACTCCTGACAGTGGGTCCACCGGCAAGCTTTTCAACCCTGGGAGGACATACCTATTGTTGGGGTGGGGAGCAGAGGACAGAGTCGAAAATCACTTTGCTTTTAACTTCCTGAAACCTAGTGCTGGTCGTGCTGGTACTGATGCAAACATAAGCAGTTAACACTGTTACAACTAGACACTGCTGGTGTTCCGTAACTGTAAATGCGTACTGATTGTAGTTACTAGAATGCATTCATCACTGATGGTACTACTAAAAATAAACTATTGTGTTCTTCCTTTTTTCCCTTTGGGAATGCTTTTATCATTTATTTTGAGAAGGACCCTAATAGTGTTTTAATCTCTTCTTGCCTCTGGATGCTTATATCTGCAGCTTACTGCACTGTTTAGCTCAGCCTTGTAATAACTGATTACTCCAATCCCACTACTGTGTTTTAGAACTTTGTGCAGGATGACTAGCATGACTATTGTTTGTTTGTTTGTTTGTTTGTTTGTTTAAAAGCTTTTGTATGCCATCCTATTATACAAGATCTCAGAACTGCTTACAATATTTAAAAAGACAATTAAAACAACAATTTCAATAAATAACAGAACAAAACAAGCAGAGCAACTAAATTTAAAAACTATTAGAGTTTAAAATACTGTTTAAATAAAAAGGTTTTGGCCTGGCGCTGAAAAGAGTATAAACATGGCACCAGGCGTACCTCTCTGAGCAGTACATTCCAGAGTCTGGGCACCACGGCAGAGAAGGCCCTATTCCAAGTTGATGACTGTTTTACCTCTCTTAGAGAGGGTAATTTCCTCTGCATTATGATAATTTGGTTTAAGGTAGTTGCTGGGTAAGTCAGCTTCACATTTTTAACCACTGGTGTTGAAGTAAGGCCTCCCCTCATACTTACAGGAACCAAAAGGACGTTCTATTTATTAAGCAATCAAGTGCTGTAAAAAAGTAGAATATACAGGTCCTTGCTGTCAAAGAACAAGGAGAAAATAGAAAATTTAGCAAATTTATCTACTTCCACATGGTCATACTTTGAATATGATGAGGAATAACTTTTGGGCTATCTTAGAGGATGTTATCAGTAGCTAATTGTCTCTTTTTTGCTTTTACTTTTTAAGCTTGCTGTGGTGAAGGGTGTCTCTCTCGAGACAAAACCAGAAAGCAAATATATCTCTGTTATAACTGAAGTCGATAAACCAGTATCACCAGAGAGTGAAGAACGCAAATCAGTGGAAGAGTTTAAGGCCACTTGTGCCAAAGATGAAGATGCTGATGGTTGTCAAAGAGCTTTAAGTAAGGGAGGAGAGTTAAGTAACCCAGAAGGAACAGTTGAGGAAATCCTCGAAGATGAACAAAACCCTGAAGACAATGTCAATTATTTCAAATCTGTTAGTGGCCAAGGAGAGAGCTCTAACAGTCTTCCAATTCTGGATCTTTCTGAAGCTGAGATGCAACAACCCACAGTACAAGAAAACTTCATGAAGGTATCTGGGTATGACAAGCCCCACTGGAAAAGTTCAGATTCTGGGGAAGAATTACTCATTACAGAGTCCAGGTGACAGGCCAGAAGCCTAAGAGATGCATTTATTTTATGAAAGAACATTATCAACGTGTGAAAAGTACATTGTTTCACAAATGACATTGCCAGGGTCTCTTTAGCACTGAAACCAATGAGAGTTCAAATGAGCTTAACATAACGTAGACCTGCATGTCCTGATGCCAAAGAAGTCACTGCGGCTACAGTCCTATATACCATATAAACTTATGGGAGTAAGTGTTGGTGCATTCAGATGTATTAATCAGCAGACGGGACAAACAACATATTAACATTTTCTTAGCTTTTGGAGCCATCATTTTCATCTGCTAAACGCGTGGGGATCTACATGTGAGAGATGTACTATGCAGAACTTGGAGTGCTAGCCAGTACTGGGATGCACAGTCTGCTGGCAAATTTATAAATCTCTAGGTTGGTCACTGTCTCCAATTACAGGAGTTCCCAGCCTTTTTGGACCCACGGGTGCATTTGAGTATATGAGAAAGCCCCATGAGCACCACTGACTCCTATAGAGGATGTAGCTAGTCATGTAATGGCTGCTGTGGGCACCTGGCTAGTCAAAGAACAAGTAATTGATTACAAGCAGAGAAGGGGTCTGAACTCCAAAATTAGTCCATGTATTGGTTTGCACAGAAGCCTAGCAAAATGCCCATTTCAGGTTACAATCATACGGGTGCTTATATGGAAGTATATGGGAATTACCTGAAGAGTAGGTGTACCCAGGATTCTTTTGCTAATCCTAGTCACACACATCTTTCTTAAAAGGTTTCCCTGCCTCAGTCCAGGCCAAACTACTCCAAGACCCATCTGGTGCTCCTAGCTACTCTGCTTCCATCGGAGCCCTCTTCCAAGAAGAGGCTTTTTGTTTGTGCAAGGGAAGACGCTGGGAATGGAGAGAAGAAGAGCTGGGCTAAGGGCCCGGAGGAAGAAATAAAAGGATGAGAAGGAACAAATGGTAGAAGCTATAGACTGGGAAGGGAAGCTACGGACTATTTCTCTCACTGGGAGAATAGTGAGAGAAAGAGGAAGTCTAGATGCTCAGAGCAGGAGAAACTGTGAAGTAATGAAGGGGAAGAGAAACAGCTAACTGATTACTGGAGGGAAATGGCAAGGCAAAGGGGCAGAAGGGAGAAAAAGGCAAGGCAGAGGGATTTGGAGGAGGCCAGCACCTGGGAGGGGAGAGATTGCCAATGGGAAAGGAGTGGCTGGAACATTGGGCAGGGCCAGGAAGCGGTGCTTTCCTTCTGCTCCTGCCTTGCTGAGCAGGTAATGGGCATCAGGTTCAGGGTGAGCAAGGAGAACATGGTGCTCTAACGTCTTTCATGCCTTTTAAAATAAAAAAAATAAAAATGTTAAAGACGAGAGAGCATAGTTCACCTTTTCTTCCTAGAAAAATGCAGAAAGGAAATTATAATACCATTTATAACCAGACAGTGGTAAGCACATCCTAGTCGTTCCTAGCATTTCTAGGTAGCGCTTGGAAAGCTCCTTGAATTTATGTAGTAAATATGATAAATAGTTAAGATTATATGGCAAATATTTCATTCTTATGGAGGCATCCTAATATATTCATGGGAGTCTGTTTTCCAACATGTATTTCTAGATCAATATGCAGTGTCAATGCTTTCCTCTTTTCTAAAGTGTGTCAATTTATACTTTTTGCCATAAGAGGAATTAGTGGGCATTCAAAGCTACCAACTGTGTGTAGAGTCCTGACATTTGAGAGTCAGTGTGGTATAGTGGTTAAGAGTGCTGGGCTGGGACTCGGGAGATTGGAGTTATATCCCCCACTTGGGCATGAAGCTCAGTGGGTGACCTTAGGTCAGTCACTGACACTCAGCCCAGCCTACTTCACAGGGTTGTTGTGGGAATAAAATGGAAGGAACAAGTAAGCTGCCTTGGGTTCTTGGCTAACAGAAGACTGATTTAACACCTCTGTCTGGGTAGTAGGTAATAAGGATAATTTCTGATCCAGTGTGGCTCAGCTATTCTTTGCTTTGGCTTGGTTGACTGAATTGATGAAATGTGCCTGGTATTGTGCTAGAGATAAACCACTTTCCTTTGTATTTGCAAAGACTGGGAACTACAACACTGTGAAATGGAGAATATTTGAACTAGGAAGCTAATTACACCAGCCTTTCCTTGTTTCGCTTAGTTTGAGTATCCATTGCTGAAAGGTATTATGAGCAATAGATTAGCAGTAATGCATCTACCAAATTGCATTTTTATTTCATTGACAGGAAGGGCAAACTTTTAAAATCTGATAAAAGATACAGCTCACTTGGAAAAAACCTGATAGAATGACAGCAACACACCAGATGCTACAGCCTCATAAATTAGGAAAAGATTATGCATAGCCAGCTGTATCATATAAATGCCCAGTTTTTTATACTGCACCATGACTCTTGGTGTTCATCGTATGGTCTAGCATCTGGTCAGCCCAGTCCACCTCCTATATATCTGCACTAATCAGACAAGAATTTGTTGTTATTTATGTTCAGTACTGTCTCCCAGCTTGGGTTGCTCTTAGTCTCATCTAGTTATACTAAGATGAGATGTGCTGCAATGCTCAGAAAAAAGAAGGAAGCATAGCAAAATGGCAAGTGAGCAAAAAGAAGCCAAGCATGAACTGGTGCCAAATGGAGAAAGTATTAAACCTGTAACTTCTATGTCAACATGGCATGCTCTGAAGAGTGTTGATTTTCAAAGTAATTCCCATCTAGTTTTGCTTTTTGGAGTGGTCCACAAAGAGGGAATTCCTGATCCTACCAATAGTAAAAGGTAAAGGTTTCCCCATGACATTAAAGTCCAGTCATGCCTGACTCCAGGGGGCAGTGCTCATCTCCGTTTCCTAGCTGAGGGAGCCAGCGTTTGTCCGCAGACAGTCTCCTTTCCGTGGTCATGTGGCCGCATGTCTAAACACCGACGTGCACAGAACACTGTTACCTGCCCACCGAAGTGGTACCTTTTTATCTACTTGCATTTGCATGCTTTCGAAATGCAAGGTTGGCAGGAGCTGGGACGGAGCAACGGGAACTCACCCTGTTGTGCAGATTCGAACCAGCAACCTTTTGATCAACCAGCCCAGCAGCACAGCGGTTTAAACCACTGCACCACCTGCAGTACCAATAGTAGGGCTTAGTAAATAGAGCTGCAGATGGAGAGTAAGAAGCACCTATCATACAGGAATGAAATGGCTTGCCCTGATGTCAGTGACATCACCATTCCAAATCAGATTGGTGATTTGATGTTGGGATGCCATCACAACCATTCACAACATTTTCTCTGATTGGCTAGAATCCAGTATGGAGGAAGAAGTAGTCCCAGTTGCTAAAAGAAAAAGCAACGGGAAGTGCTACTAGTGAACAGAATAGGATGGTCCAAAGTTTTGAACCATCTTTCCAAGAACAAACTGGAAGCGCTTCATAAAGTTCTCTCTTAGTGTCAAAGAACCTGCATGCTCAAAATGTGCATTTTTTGTCAGTGGCAAAATACCTGAGATTCCCATATGGTTAGCCAACTGTGGATTATCACAATCTTTACTCCTTCCATAGATGTTTATATAGGCTTTCTCCCAATGTCTCAAGCACTTGTGTTCTATTTTATATGATTATTTTTATTATATATATAATACTGTGTTAGCCACAAAGTTTTAAAATACCTGGTTAGACCTCCTGTGCATTTGAACATCACCCCAAGGCATGCTGAAGATAAGTGGGTTGTCTGTTCATCAGTCTGTGTTACTCCCAACAGCCTGGGTGTTTCCTTGTTCCCTTTGGCACTTCCTGAAGGAAATTCCCCTGTCCCTCCCACCAGACTGCCAGACAGGAATATTTTCCTAACCACATTTATTCACAACAATCTCAACTTACTTCCTCAGGATCTTGCAGAAAATTGTACCAATATCTCCTTAGCAGTACCCTTTTAAATTTCACTTCAGCTCTGCCCTGCATTAAAAAAAAAAACTCAGCTGGTTCATTTACTCCCAAGCTAATCATATCTCCCCCAAAAGCTCCTTTCAGGAGCTTTCAGGCCTCACTTCACTGATCTTCTGTTGTTAATTGCCAGACATAAATGTGGGTTACAGTGAGAATGATCAGAAAATATACACAGATTGTATAGCACCAGACTTTTGAAAGTGCATACTTTTTCAATACCCCTCTTCCCAAGCTTTTTGTTGGTTTTATTTGTTCAGGTGTTTGTTTGTTTTTGGTTTTTTAAGGCTGCAAATACTGTACGTTTGGGATATTCTCTGGTGTTCTCCCGTACTGATTTTTCTGGAGCACAGGCTAGAGGACACTGGCAAATGAGGACTGCAACAGTACTATCCAGCTTGAAAGCAACAGCTGGGGCTGGGGTGTTGCCAGGCTGTTCCCAATTCTCCATGCACAAATACTCTGCCAGGTTCTGTTGCCATGACAAGCTACCTTGAAAACAAGTCAGCTACAAGCCACAAGTTCTCAGGGTAGTTTGTTCATTGAAAATAACCATGCTGAAAAATGCTCTGGCTTCAGATATAACAAGGTACCCAGAACAACCCACCGTGGCTTACTGGGGCCTGACAGCTTGGTCATTCTCTTTTTGAACAACATCTTGCTTTGGAGACATAATGTATTTTAGTCAAGTTACTTTGTTTTTGCTAAAAAAAATCCATCAGCAGGAAAAAGAGTTCCTCTTTAGGAAACAGTGACCTTTGCTCTTGGATGTTTTGTTCCCCGTGTGGAATTTGATGTTGAAAGAAAGTTTAAAATACAGGCTACAAAAAAGAAGAAAATAACCTAATGAATTATCTTATTGTACTGCTAATGAGAAAAACAAACCTGTATGCAAAAACTTATGGGTCAAGTAAGTAACCTAAAGAGCAGTTCAGTAACTGAAAGTGTTTTGGTAAGTGAGTTCTGTAGCCAAACCATAGACAAAACAAGTCAGTAGATGGCATTCTTGCTCTGTATGCACAAGAAATTCAGCATTAGGACAGCTGTGAGTTCCAGCTAAATCTGTGAAGCTGAATATTTTGTTGTTCTTAACTGTATCTGCCTTATAAAAGTATGACATACACAAGATGTACACTCAAATTTGTCTCCAGTAAATCACAGAATGGAGAAATGTGCTTGGTGTTTGTTTTTAAAAATTGTACTTTGAAGTGAATCCAGTTTTGGGTGCTCATCTATTTTCTCAGTTCATTTTCCATGTAAACCTTCCGAGCTGTACCAAAAATGAAATGGCAGAAGATTTCCTCACCAGCTTTCCAAGAACACTATAAATCAAGCACGCACGCACCCTGTTAGGGCCTCTGATACTACGCTGCCTATTCCTCTACAATTTAATGTGAGAGTTGTACTACCATATGTTGGCTACATTCGCACCCAGCCCCCAGACGGAAGTTCTCCCCACAAGCACTCGGGAATAAGTTTGTGTGAAGTAAGGATACTGAAAGTTCACATGGTGAGGATGTTGGTGTGCTTAACCAAGAATAGATTCTCTTCTGACCAAGGAAAATGTGTATGCCTGAACATGATCAGACATGTTCCCTCATCAGTCAAGATCAGTTGACTTACTGATGTTTCTACTGAGGTAAGCACAATCTCTGGATGGAGAGAGAGCACATGAGATGGATGAACAAGTTCAGCAGTTTACTAAAGAGAAGCGAAACTGCTTCTCTCTGGGTTTGCTTCTCTCTGGGTTTTTGTCTGCTGAGATAGCGTTCCCCCTCCTGCAATCACCCTGGCTCGCTATGGATGGCCTAGCCCAGGGGTCAGCAACCATTAACACTCAAAGAGCCATTTGGACCCTTTCCCACACAAAAGAAAACACCGGGAGCTGCAAAACCCTTTTGACATCTAAAATAAAGGTGACACTTCGTTTATCATTTTTTACCTTAATGCTATGTATATCTTCATTATGATTTAGCTGCAGCTCTTGTTCAGTCACTAAAAACTGTTATTTTTAATCTTACATTATAAAGTAGAAGGACTCCTTTCATATATTTTGAATAGGAGAACAGCTTCCTGAAGAGTCAAAGTCGGTGCTAAAGGGTGTTTAAACAAAATTTTAAAATAAAGCCAATCTTTCTCCAGCACTAAGTGTTGTGATGCAGAGAGTGGAAGCACTAGGGAACATGGTCGTCTTTGGATTCACAAAGCTAGACATTAATATTAGGTGGTGTTTGGGTTAAGAATCAAAAGCCAAATTGGGTTGTATGACAAATTAATTCCCAACTTCAAATGATAGAAACTATTCTGCCTCCCTCTCCTGGTCAGCTAAACGTGCTGTCCTCTAAAACACGCGCAAATTGTCAGGCAGTAACCATATTGATACATTCCCAAAAATCCCTCATCAAAATTATGTACTTCTCCATCCCCACCACCTTTCTATAGATCAACAGAGCTACCTTTTAAAATGTAAAACTATTGTTTACAGTGAAGTATTCATATCTGTTCACAGAACCAGTGCAAGGGTCAGAAGTGGGGGGAATTCCTAGAGAAGCCTATTTGAGCATTGTTTTCTTGAGGGCTCAGCATTTCCCCCGCAATAGACCAATATAGCGTATTTTGAAGACTGGTGGCTAAAAGTCAACTTTTGCTAATACGTACTTTCAATTTGTTCTGGGAAAAGAAGGGAGGAATGCTGTAAAGGAATGTCCCTCTAGGGATTTGAGAAAAGGAGTTCTGATTCACATATTCAGCGCTCTGCCCTTCACCAGTGCCCCTGAAGCCTTGTTGAGAGAGAAGTCTGCAAGATTCCCCTGAGACAAATTCCATCTTTTTCTCTGTGGGAAGAACAGAGATACTTGGCAGAAAAAGCAGCACTTTTATAGGAATCAGTACACTTGTACGGTGAATGCCTAGTTTCTTTGTCTGCACACGCAGGTTACCTTTTATTTCGCTGCTTCAGTTGGACTTAAGCAGCCCTGGAGTCATGCCAAACATCAGGACCATACCACATGGTGCACCATAATCAACTCCAATAATCAGGTCAGGGTGATTTTACAAACCAAGTTAGGCAAGGATCCAGAGAGCAGGTGCCAGAGCTCCAGACCTTAGAAACAGAAACAGGGAGTCAGAAGGGGGTTCCTGAGCCATCTAGTCTGACCCCCAGCTCCACTCATGACATGCCTGCCATGTGCATGTCCAGTCTATCCCTAAACACCCTCACCGTTAGGCCTTCAACCACCTCCCGTGGAAGCCCATTCCATACCCTAGGGGTCCTAACCACCAGAAAGTACTTCCTGGCATCCACCCTAAATCTTGGTTTCCTGAGCTTCAACTTGGTTCCCTGAGCTTCAGCCTTCAACTTGCAGAAGCAGAAACCTATCCATATTGAACTTACACAGGCCAGGTTGCAGAAGAGTTTTGGCCCCTGGGGCTACATCAGGTCCTGGGACCAGGTGTTACATGCAGATACACAGATACCATTCACACATTCAGATATGTGCATATACTCAAGCACACTTATTCTCACTCCCCCTCATTGTGTCCCCCATTCCTGCCAACACTTGCACATTTCAGCTTTCTGTCCCTCATGTCTGATCTCCCTACACATGGGATATGGCATTGTCTCAAGAGAAGCAGTAGGCAAGAGACTGATCACCCCCTTCATCTTTAGCTTCTCCAACTGAGAAAGGACATAACATGCAAGGGCTTCTTAGGCAGGCAATGATAGCTTCGTCTTACAG